TCACAGGAGCTGTCTTCACAGACCTGTCAGCAGCCTATGATACTGTGAACCACCTCCTCCTCCTGAGAAAAAGGTATAATATCACAAAGGACGACCACCTCACCGCCTCATAGGAAGCCTGCTACAAAACAGGAGCTTTTTTGTTGAGTTCCAGGGCCAGAGAAGCAGATGGCGGAAACAGAAGAACGGCCTGCCTCAGGGGAGCGTGCTTGCTCCATCCATGTTCAACATCTACACAAATGACCAGCCACTGCCAGAAGGGACAGAGAGTTTCATCTATGCTGATGATCGTGCCATCACTGCTCAAGCAGGGAGCTTTGAGATGGTAGAACAGAAGCTCTCCAAAGCTCTAGGTGCTCTTACTGCCTATTACAGGGAAAACCAGCTGATCCCTAATCCATCTAAAACACAGACATGTGCTTTTCACCTTAAGAACAGACAAGCATCCCAAGCTCTGAGGATGACCTGGGAAGGAATCCCACTGGAGCATTGCAGCACACCCAAATACCTGGGAGTCACTCTGGACAGTGCTCTGACCTACAAGAAGCACTGCCTGAACATCAAGCAAAAAGTGGGTACTAGAAACAATATCATACGAAAGCTGACTGGCACAACCTGGGGATCACAACCAGACACAGTGAAGACATCTGCCCTTGCGCAATGCTACCTCTGCTGCTGAGTACGCATGCCCAGTGTGGAACACATCTCACCACACTAAAACAGTGGATGTGGCTCTTAATGAGACATGCCGCATTATCACGGGGTGTCTGTGCCCTACACCACTGGAGAAATTACACTGCTTAGCCGGTATTGCACCACCTGACATCCGCCGGGAAGTAGCAGCCAATAGTGAAAGGACCAAGGCAGAGACATTTCCAGCTCATCCCCTGTTTGGGTATCAGCAAGCACGTCAACGACTTAAATCTAGAAATAGTTTTCTAAGATCTACAGAGACACTCGCTGGAACACCTCAGCAAGCGAGAGTCCAAAAGTGGCAGGCTCAAACCCAGCCCCTCAACCAATGGCTGATACCAAATGAGAGACTCCCCCTGGGCACACAGAAGACTGGGCGACTTGGAAGGCGCTGAACAGACTGCGCTCTGGCACCACGAGATGCAGAGCCAACCTTAAGAAATGGGGCCACAAAGTGGAATCCAAGACATGCGAGTGTGGAGAAGAGCAAACTACAGACCATCTGCTGCGATGCAACCTGAGCCCTGCTACATGCACAATGGAGGACCTCCTTGTGGCAAAACCAGAGGCACTCCAACTGGCCAGAGACTGGTCAAAGGACATTTAATCAACTGCCAAGCTTGCAAATTTTATATTTTGTCTGTTTGTTTGCTTTGTTCTGTTAGAAATGTAATATAATCGACTGGTTACCCTGACACAATAAATAAATAAATAAATATTATTATTATTATTATTATTTGATACACAACAAGATGAGTCCACAGCAAACAAGATCACTCGGGTGGCTGTTGCATTGGATCGCATGTAGGCCAAGGTCTTGAGGCACTGCATCCAGAGTGCCGATCACCACTGGGACCCCCTTGACCGGCTTGTGCCAGAGTCTATATTATTATTATATTTATTTATACCCCTCTTTACCCCTCCCAAAGGAGACTCAAAGAGGCTATGTATCTATTATTATTACTAAAGGCAGAAAACTGTTCCCAAAGTGGTCCCCAGCCCAAGCTTTCAATCTATATATATATAAATGTTCTGTGCATAACTAGTACCTTAAAAACAAAAGAACCAATGAATGAAATCACACCAAATTTGGCAACAAAACGTCTCACAACATAAGGAGTGACCATCACTCAATTTTTTTTGATTTTGTCATTTGGGAGTTGTAGTTGCTGGGATTTGTAGTTCACCTACAATCAAAGAGCATTCTGAACTCCACCAACGAAGGAATTGAACCAAACTTGGCACACAGAACCTTGAGTTTGGGAGTTGTAGTACACCTACATCCAGAGAGCACTGTTGATTCAAACAATGATGGATCTGGACCAAACTTGGCACAAATATTCCATATGAACACAGATGGAGTTTGGGGGAAATAGACCTTGACATTTGGGATTTGTAGTTATTGGGATTTATAGTTCTCCTGCAATCAAAGAGCATTCTGAATCCCACAAATGACAGAATTGGGGCAAATTTCGCACACAGATCCCCCATGACCAACAGAAAATACTGAAGGCCATCCAGTCCAACTCTCTTCACCAGGGCAAGAACATGTAATCAGAGCCCTCCTGACAAAGAGCCATCCATAGATATAGATAGATAGAGAGATAGATATGATTTACACACACACAGAGAGAGAGATATAGTATCCTAGATTTGAAAGGGACCCCTAAAGAAGGACTATAATATGTTGCATATTCCAGAGTAGGCAAACCAGACACTCTCCACATCCACACTGACAAAGACACAGCAAGAAATACTGTTGACCCACAAGCAGAAAGAAATTATATATATTAGAAACCAACACTTTCTCATTACTTTATTTTCCAGATCAACAGACTGGGCCACAGCAACACGTGGCAGGGGACAGCTAGTGATTGCCTAAAAAGCCAGTGAAATGTCCCTCTCCCAGTAAAACCAATAGCAACACTTTGGCGCAGGGAGTCAAGGTCAAGGTCTGATGGTCAGTGTGGCCTCTTTGTTCTCTATGTTGTCCAGAATTTGCCGGACTGTACCTCCCAGCATTCCCCACTCTGGGCTTTGCTTGCAAGTTGATGATGGGATGCGCACTCCGGCGACACCCAGAGAGCGGTGGGATTCCCATCCCTGGAGTCTCACTCACCTTCACCGTCAGGAATGTGATCTTCTCATATTCCTTGAAAAACCCCGCCACTTGGTCCTTGTAGTACCAGGGCTGGAACCCGCTTTGCGTCTGCAGGATCAGAGAGGAGAAAGGGAACCAGTTTCATCACCRGGTTTGCGATAAATCTAACGAGCATGCTGATTCGGGCAACCTAATTTAGCCCAAAAAGGTATGCATGATGTAACKGATTGGCCTACCTTACAGGGTTGGTGTACAGGCAGCTTACTTYCTTACTTACTTACTTACTTACTTAGCCGATCCCTCGTAGTCCGAGGATGATGGTCCTCRAAGTTCGGTGTCCTGGCGGTGGGTCCGTAGGTGATTCTGAACCTTTTGAATCCTCTTTCCATACCAGCACTCTTAACACTAGACTTGGTTGATCCAGTTCGTTAATTTCTTKATTRGTTATTTATTCATTATTTTTACACCTTTAGAAGCGATTTTGATGCGTTTTAGCAACCCGGAAGTGTTTTTGCCATCTCAAAGCCGGGTCCACCATCTCCACATAAGCAGTCCCCAAGTTACAAACATCCAACTTACAAACGACTCCTAGTTGAGAACAGGGTTGGATTGGATGGCCTTTGGGGGTCCCTTCCAAATCTATATAGTCTATCTATCTATCTATCTATCTATCTATCTATCTATCTATCTATTTATCTAAGAAATAGATATACTATCATAGATTTGGAAGAGACCCCCAAAGGCCATCCAGTCCAGCCCTGTTCTCAACTATTATTTATTTTATGTATTTAGCAGTTTTGCATTTATTTAGCAGTCTTCTCACCTCTGTCGAGGGACTCAGGCCAGTTTCCAACAGTAATATCACAAACAGTCATTAAAAACATCATATTGCATATTAAACTAAAACATTAAAATAGCAAAATGCAGTCAAATAATTACAATGGTCAGTCGTCACAATAAAATCGTTGTTCGTCATTCGTCATCATCCATCCATATCACAGAATATTGACTCACTCATCGAATGCCAATTTCCAGAGCCAAGTTTTCACCTGTTTTCTGAACATCAAGATAGAAGGGGCAGTTCTGATCTCCAGTGGGAGAGAGTTCCAGAGCCGAGGGGCCACCACCGAGAAGGCCCTGTCCCTCATCCCCACCAGACGCGATTGCGAGGCCGGTGGGACCGAGAGCAGGGCCTCTCCAGACGATCTTAACAATCTTGATGGTTCATAGGGGAGAATACGTTCGGAGAGGTAAACAGGGCCGGAGTCGTTTAGGGCTTTATAGGTTAACACCAGCCCTTTGAATTGGCAGCTAATTGGCAGCCAGTGGAGCTGGTGTAACCGCGGAGTGGTGTGCTCCCTGGACCCAGCACCCGTTAGTAGTCTGGCTGCCGAGCGTTGGACTAGTTGGACCTTCTGGGCAGTCTTCAGAGGCAACCCCGCGTAGAGAGCGTTGCAGTAATCTAAACGGGATGTAACCAAATGGGTGGACCACCGTGGCCAAGTCAGACTTCCCAAGCTACGGGCACAGCTTTCGCACAAGTTTTAATTGTGCAAAAGCTCCCCTGACCACCGCTGAAACTAGGAGTCGTTTGTAAGTTGCATGTTTTTAACTTGCAGACTGACTGTGTGTACGTATCTATGTATGCCTGTATGAGGGGGAGAATGGACTGGAGTTCACAGCCTGAGACTGGGGATCGGTCCAGAAGAAGACATGCATCCTTTCCCCTTCTCTCCTATCCGCTTCCTTCCGCACAGCTACCATGGATGGGGGTTTCTCTTCCCGCTTCCCTTTCCTTGCTTACCGACTGGTTCAAAGCCTGGACGAACTTCTCTGCCCCCAGGAAGTTGCAGGCCATGTCCACGTCTCCGTTGTAGACCAGTGCCCGCAGGTCCTGGCCCAGCAGAGACTTGTAGAAGGGAGCCATGTCCTTGTATTCCCGCTGGTAGTGCGCCCGCACCTGGGAACTGAAGCAAAGTGGGTGAATGTGGGGCTGAAGCCGGGAAAAAGCCCATCGGACCTGTTGGAATCACAGACCACCTTACAGAGATGCGGTCGCGCAGGTAGGCAGGTCCCAAACCGTTTAGGGCCTTGTAGGTGAGCACCTACACCTTGAATTGGGACCGGAAAATGAAGGCAGCCAATGGAGCTCCTTAAACAGGAGGGTTGACCTCTCTCTGTAAGGAGCACCAGTTAACAACCTGGCCGCCGCCCATTGGACCAGTTGGAATTTCCGAGCCGTTTTCAAGGGCAGCCCCACGTAGAGCGCATTACAGTAGTTCAATCTAGAGGTGACCAAGGCCAGATCAGCCTTTACAGATCCACCTTCCCGAGGTACGGTCGCAGTTGGCGCACAAGTCTTAATTGTGCAAAGGCCCTCCCGGCCACCACCGACGCCTGAGCCTCAAGCATCAGTTATGAGTCCAGGAGGACACCCAAACTGCGGACCTGTGACTTCAGGGGGAGTGTAACCCCGTCCAACACAGGTTGCCACCCTATACAACGGTCAGGTTTACGATCAACCAGGAGGACCTCTGTCTTGTCGGGATTAATCTTCAGCTTGTTCGTCCTCATCCAGATAGACACAGCGGCCAGGCACTCATCCAGCACTCGAGGGGCCTCCTTGGAATTAGGTGGAAAAGAGTAGTAGAGTTGTGTGTCATCCGCATACAGATGGCACCCAACTCCAAAACTCCGGATGCACAAACACACACAAATATATACATATACACATACATGCATGCACACATGCATATATACATATGCACATGCACACACATATACATATTGACATACATATATACACACAAATATGCATATAGACAAGCACACACATATACACAATATGCTTGTACACATATAAACACACAAATATGCAAATATACACACATATATATACACACACACTTATACACACACACACACACACACATATATATAGGTAAAGGTAAAGGTAGTCCCCTGACATTAAGTCCAGTCATGTCTGACTCTGGGGTGTGGTGCTCATCTCCATTTCTAAGCCGAAGAGCCAGCGTTGTCCGTAGACACCTCCAAGGTCATGTGGCCGGCATGACTGCATGGAGCGCCGTTACCTTCCCACTGGAGTGGTACCTATTGATCTACTCACATTTGCATGTTTTCGAACTGCTAGGTTGGCAGAAGCTAGGGCTGACAGCGGAAGCTCACGCCGCTCCCCGGAATCAAACCTGCGACCTTTCGATCAACAAGCTCAGCAGCTCAGTGCTTTAACCCACTGCGCCACCGGGGGCTCCCATACACACACACTTATACACACACACACACACACACATATATATACACAAATATATATACACACACAAAGACATATATACACACACAAAACACATATACACACATTGGGCCACAGCAACGCGTGGCAGGGGACGGATAATAATAATAATAATAATAATAATAATAATAATAATAATAATAATAACAACAACAACAACAACAACAGTTACCTTACTTGGATCTGTGTGCATCCTTTGAAAATACATCACGCAGTCCTTGACGCTTGGGAAGTGTTCGACTTGTGATTTTGTGATACGAAACCCAGCTATAGATCTCGTTTGCTGTGACATACTGTGTTTTTGTGTCAGTAAAATAATAATAAATGGAGGTGCCCTTCTTCCACTGAGCCTCACCTGCAGAGCTCCCAGTTTGGGAGGCTGCTGGGAATATGGAGGGCCTGCCGGACGTCATCCGCGTTCAGCCAGAGGTACATGACCGTGGCGTTTATGCACGCCGGCACTCCTGGGATAGCGCCCACTGCCTGGAAAGGAAGCAAAATAAGGGGGAACAAGTACATATAGGGTCCATCTGTCTTTATGACACACAACCACATAACTTCAACTTAGGACAGATTTATACTATTGAAAGGGTCTTTGAGTAAAATTAGCAATAGCTAAGCAAGGGGTTTTGAGTGAAATTAGCAATAGTTCAAGGATTTGGTTCTTTGAAAAGTCGCTATATTAGCGAGCTTACATAGAAAGTTGGTTTGTGGTTAAGCGCAAAGTCTGCAGGTGCGAGAAGGTACTTTCCATCAAGAGGTTGATGGGACAGGAAGAGTAAAGGTCAAAGTACTTTCCATGACAAAAATATTCTTGTTTACATGATGGTATAAAGGTTTGCAAAAAGCCAAGGAGGGGCACGGCAGTCTGTGGGTGCACTTACAAAAGTGCTGTCTGTTTGTTGGGGTTCAGCCTGAGTGTGAACCTGAACCTGAATCTGATTCTCTGATTGTATTTCCTGATGCTACTGAAAATGTATTTCCTGATGCTAATGAAAATGTTGATTCTGAGGTCAGTGTAGAAGAAACTCCTGCAGGCTTGGAAGGCTTGGAAAGTGAAAGTACACATTCTCATGAGAATGTTTCAGGGTCAAGCGGTGATAGCTCTCCAGAGAAGCTAACACCTGGGATCCTTAATGAGGATAGAAGAGGACAGGAGTGAATCGCAGAGTCTGCGAAGGTCAGCCAGATTGAAAGAAAAAGAAACAAGGGCTTCAAAGCCTGGAGGCGTGTCACGAAACAGTTTCCTCGGCTTTAAGTGCCTCTCGCCGGGTTGACTCTTTAGATCAGGCATCGTTTTAGACTGAGGCATTACCTTGGCAGATCTCCCGTTTCCCGTGGCCTTCATCCCAAGAGGCTTCTAGTGCTCCAAGTACGGTTAGTGGATTGCTAACAGGTTCCAGGATTTTACAGTGTTGCTTTTGGTTTTTGATCTAGTTCATGGATATTTCTGATTGCTGATTTTTACTGTGGCTTTTTGACTTTGCATTTTCCTCTATTTTGTAACCATTTTTCATCAATAAAAAGGGATTGTTTTTCCCACAGTCAAGTGTGGTGGATTGTTGTCTTAGGGTCTCGTTTCCTGCTCTGGGTTGCAACACTGTTCGCCTCATGCTGATCAGCTTGAATAAATGGTGTCTTACCTTAACCTATTGGACTCTGTGGATTTCTTTGAAAAGGGACCCCACACCCTAAACCCGTGATCCCTTACACAATTATTTACTTACTTTAGTCCTCTTTGCAGATTCCATCATGACTGTCTCTAAATGGCTGGCTACTGCAGCTCTCATTGTGGCTTTCTGATGCTGAGCACTGTGTTCTGGGAAATGTAGTTCAGGGACAGAGTCCTTTGTATTCTCTGTCACAGGGGGCCTTGTCTACCCAAGCTACATTTCCCAGCATGCTCTTGCTCATTAACTTTGCTAGTTCTGCCCCCAGCACCTTTGCTTATGATGACAATTGGGCCAAAGAAAAAGGATAGTTTTTTAAACATGTGATGTCCCTTTAGCTTTACCAAAGTTGCTTAATGCTTGTACTGAAAATTAAACTGACCTTGGGAGGCATCTGAATGTTACAGAATCTTAACGAAAATTATTCTTAAATCCCCCCACCTTTCTTGCATGTTTCAAATATCGATTTATATGCACGAATCTAACGAATTTGATCCGAAAAATGAATTAAAAACGAAATGTTGCACACCCCATACACACACACACACACACACACACACGAGGGGTATTTTTAAAGTAAGGTCCGTTTTGCTGTAGACACTAGTAGTTCGCGCGCATACCGCAACGAGCGCGTGCGTCGTGTACCGGCATGCCTCGGGAACAACTGTGCTCAGTTTCCGCTCTGTAGCTCACCTGTACGGTTCTGTTCTGTGCTTTAAAAATGTTTAAGACTATCAACTCACCCGTCGCATGTGAGGTTCGCTCAGTGATACGGTTTTTGTCAGCAAGGAACCTGCCTGCTGCAGAAATTCATCGACAGATTTGTGAAGTGTACGGTGATACTGTTATGAGTGAAAGCAAAGTGCGTAAGTGGGTACGACAATTCAAAGATGGCCGTGACAACGTCCATGATGAGGACCGCTCCGGTCGCTCTTCTTTGATTACAGACGATTTGGTGGCTTCAGTTGAAGCGAGCAAACCTCACATGCGGAGGGTGAGTTGATAGTCTTAAACATTTTTAAAGCACAGAACAGAACCGTACAGGTTAGCTACAGAGCGGAAACTGAGCACAGTTGTTCCCGAGGCATGCCGGTACACGACGCATGCGCTCGTTGCGGTATGCGCGTGAACTACTAGTGTCTACAACAAAACGGACCTTACTTAAAAAATACCCCTCGTGTGTGTGTGTGTGTGGAGTTAGACTTTAAAAATGTCCCCAACTCACCGGCACAGGGACATTGAACTGGTATTGGCGGAAGAGGTTGGAGAGGTCGGCTTGGTAGCGGTCCTGGTAGTGGGCCCCTCCCCAGCAGGGCGCATAGAGGTTGTATATGTTCAGGCCAATCCCGTAAAGCACTCCGTAGGCCTCCGAGATCTTGGGGCAGGAACAAAAAAGGAGAGGAGCATTACATTAGGGAACAACGTTTGGAAAATATTCTGTTCCTGGTTTGAAAGTGTTGTTTCCTGTTTAATTGTGTACAGGGCCGGCCCTAGGTAATTTTCAAGTGTAAGCAAACAGTATTTTGCCCCCCCCCAAAAAAACAAACAAACAAACAAACCAATCACTGAAAAATAAAAGGTAGAAGGTAGAGGTGAATAAAAGAGTTACCTTACAAACCAGAAGTTTACTTACAACATTATGTTCATATAGTTACATTACATAGAATTCACATAGAAGATGGCTTTGAAAGGCAGCAGATCACAGGAGCTGTCTTCATAGACCTGTCAGCAGCTTATGATACTGTAAACCACCGCCTCCTCCTGAGAAAAATGTATAATATCACAAAGGATTACCACCTCACCTGCCTCATAGGAAATCTGCTACAAAACAGGAGCTTTTTTGTTGAGTTCCAGGGACAAAGAAGCAGATGGCGAAAACAGAAAAGTGGCCTGCCTCAGGGGAGCGTGCTTGCTCCATCAATGTTCATTTACATAAATTACCAGCCATTGCTAGAAGGGACAGAGAGTTTCATCTATGCTGATAATCATGCCATTACCACTCAAGCAGGGAGCTTTGAGATGGTCGAACAGAAGCTCTCCGAAGCTCTAGGTGCTCTTACTGCCTATTACAGGGAAAACCAGCTGATTCCTAATCCATCTAAAACACAGACATGTGCCATTCACCTTAAGAACAGACAAGCATCCTGAGCTCTGAGGATGACTTGGGAAGGAATCCCACTGGAGCATTGCAGCGCACTCAAATACCTGGGAATCACGCTGGACCGT